GGAGGGAGGAGAAATGACTTCTACGGGAAAAACAAATAGGATTCTTTAGGAAATACTAATGATTTTTATTCATTTGTTTGTTTGATTTTTTTTTTTTTTTTTTTTTTTTTTTTGCTAAGGAAGATTCACTCTTAGCTAACATCTGCTGATGATCATCCTCTTTTTGTGCTAAGGAATATCAGCCCTGAGCTAACATCTGTGCCAATGCTCTATTTTGTATGTGAGACACCTCCACAGTGTGGCTGGTGAGTGGCATATGTCCTCACCTGGGATCCGAACCAGTGAACCCTGGCTATCTAAGTGGAGTGCTAGAAATTTAACCACTTGGCCATGGGACAGGGCCTTGACAAATGAGTTTTAAGATGAGATGGGAGATAAAGTTTGTTCTGATAATGTTTGCATATACAGGTATGAGTGGTCTCTCCATCTCCCTCAGTGCCATAAAACTCCCCCAGGATGAAATTGATGGCAGCCTTGTTTTCCAGAAGTTGCTGTTTTTGGTCAGATTAGGGAAGATCTAAGGAGGCTTTCTCTGCATCTGTTGAACCTCAGACATCTTCACGCCAGCCCTGGGGTCTTGAGTGAGCCTCCACAGTTTACCTCTGCCCTCTCTCTCCTCTTCCATATCTGGGGTTCATTGCTGATTAAGACCCCACTCTTGAACGGCTGAGTGGGGACAGTGCCCTTCATGAAAAGATCCCCTTGGCTATTCTTACGTGTTCACGTCCTGAACAAATTGCTGTGATCATAAGGTCCAAACGATTCTAATGATACCAAATAAATTTAACTAATGTGGGGATCTTTGATGGTCCTGAAATATTATACCTTCCTGGCCAGAGACAAATGCTTCCTTTTGTTTGTTTGTTTCCACTTTTGATCTTCCTTGTAGATTTTTACCTTTGTATTTGTAGGGATGCACAAGTAAAGTGAAAACTTTACTTCTAGGAATTTTAGTGTTTTTATTGCTATTTGAATGGAATCTTTCACGTTATTAGACTTTTTAATTACCTATGGGGGTAGATAGGAATACTCGAGTGTGTGGTCTATTTACTTTATCCATTATATTGTTTATAAACCTTTTTACAGCCATTTACCCCAGATATTACAGCTAGAACTTTTTTCTCTGTGTAAAAATGATTGTAATTTGTGTTGTCCTTTCTGATATTTGTACTTTTTTTTCTCTTTTAAGATAGCGTTGCCTAGAACTTACCAAATACCATGGGTCTTAGTAAGCAATACTGTATTCTTATGACGATGAGTAAAGATGAAGTTAGCCTTTCGGAATAATGACTAACTTTGCTTTGGGATACGTATTTATAAGGTTCTATGAGTAAAGCAGGTGTCCATCGGGTGCCGACTCTGCACAGGAAATGCACCAGCTTCTTCAAGGACAGATGACATAAGAAAGACCTCTTACAGCAACAAAGAGTTTAGTGTAATAAAGGGATAAAGCGAGCACTTACATCACTGTGACATTCAGAGGGATGGGGTGCCCGCCCCAAGAGCTGTAGGTGTTTAAGGGAAGGTGGCTCATACAGGATTCAGGCACCCCGGGAAGGCTTGATCAAAGCAGCTTTAGGATTGTGAGATCTCCATCAGACCACGGACAAAAGAACAGCACTGAGAAGGTTTCGGGCAGGAGGATGCTGATCGGTCATCCACAGAGTTGTTTGGACTGTGACGGTGACAGAACTTATTTCACTTTGATTGGAGCAGAAGGCACATCTGAGAGGATGGGGAGAACGACAGCCCATGGACTAGGGTACCGTCAGCGGCCGTGTTCTGGGGTCTTTGAGCTGAGGCTGAGTTTCACCTGCTTTAGAAGCCAGCTGGGCGTTGTTGGCTGTGTGATAATCTGGTCATTTCCCTGCCACACTGATGCTGTTTTCTTTCCCTCAATAATGGTTTTAACCCATTTGCAAAGAAGAGAAACATCTAGAGATCCAGGGCCGCTGGAGCTTTTTGTCACGTGCATCGGAGAGTTTGAACACGCTGTAGATCTATGCCGAATATTAGGGTTTCGGTCTGTCGAATCGTACTTTTTAACATTATTCTAAAACCAAGAAAAGAAAGCTCTTTTTTGTGACACTGTCCAAGTCCATTTTTATGTAGCAAAACATTGTTTTCATCCCGACATTCTGTCTTTTAATGTTGAACTCCTTAGAGACATTTAATCAAAAAGATGCCTTTTTTGGGGGGAGAATTAAAAAAAGCCAGCAGCTGAAAAGCAGTGATCTGATTGGTGTAGCAGCGAAAAGTTAGAGAAATGGGCCTTCCCTGAAAGAGAAGTCCAATGTTCCAGAACTGAGGAACGTACAAATAAATTTGCAACCTTACCAAAAAAAGACAATTTCTTCTCTCACTCCTATTGCCTGATATTAATACATATTAGCAAGTAGAAGAGTATTAGTCTGAGAGTTAGCAGTAAGAATTCATTGTCATGAAGTGAGAACCAATAACGCTAATTTCCCAAAACACTTCTACAGCGTATTTTGGAAATTTGTATTTTAATTCACAAGAGTTGACAGGTTTTATTACTGCAAAGAAAAAAAAAAGCTATTGTCAGAAGCACATGCTAACAATTAACGTGTTACGTGCACCCAGTTCTTGAATAGAATGGTATATTTATAGATTTCCTAATGGCTGCCTTTCTAGTGTTTGTATTTTTTTCTCGTTATCTGTCTGTTCAGACTTACACTTCAATGTGCCTTGAAACTTCATCACCTAAGAAAGAACCAAATGCTTATCTGCCTGATGAGTGATAAAGTTTGCTAAGAAAGGAATAATAACCACTCTAAACATTTCAATCAGACAGGAAATTGCTTAAATCTTTAAATAACAACATAGCTTTCATGTTGTTGTAAGAAGTGGCCACAGATCTAAGTTACTTGCAGTTTCAAGTACATGGGAGCATAAATCTTCTAAAGTTGAGAAAAACATTCTACTCTGACAAATTTATTAACTTTTCATGCCGCGGTGAGAACTCACCTGAAATCCTTGTGCAGAAGAAGCTGCAGCATAGAATTAGGATCAGGTGGCAGTGTGGGTATATTTTCACCACAAACCTCCGAAATAACCATGCTTTTATATGACCTGATATTCTAGCACATCATAATAAAAGTGTACACACACACACACGCACTACAGATTTAGCAGAACATTGAAAAGAAATATGATAAAGTGATCAGGTTATAGCTTTGCAGGTAATTATATACGAAGATGAATGTTGAGGAACATGGATTTTTCTTATCACATTGAAACCAGCCTCTGGCTTCTTTAATTTCGGAAATTGGGAAATGCAGGATTCTCTACGACGAACAGTTTTTTAGTGAGATAATAAAAACACTGTAATTACATACTGTTTTTAAGCCGAGCGCTTGGCAAACCCGGCCTGACAACCCACTGCTGAGTGGGCCAATCTCTTTGTTTCACTGAGAAATGTTCATTTATATGAGCTGAGAAGGATGATAATTTTTAGAATATATGCTGATAAAGGCAGGTAGTGCAGACGGTGAATGTACGTCTTGCAGATTGTTTTCTAAGGAAGACCAAACATGCAGTTACGGGTTTCTTTACATACACAGCAGCTCTCCCACATTCCTTTATTTATTTGTACATTCAGGAAACTTCAGTTGAGTGACTACCACATATTAGAAATGTTATTAGTGTATAAAACAAACAAAACAGAGCAAAATGACAGCAAAACACCTAGATCTCAGGCTTGAAGAGAAGACAGAAGCTTTTCCCCAAGAAGACGATGCCCTCTTGTGCCAAGATCTGCCCCCAGACCTGGGACCACAGTTAAATCAGAGCAAAGTTGGGTGGGGCTGCTCAGTCTGCTCAGGAAGCCAAGGCGGGGGACGCAGGGAGTTCTGAATCCAGCCAGTGTGAGCCTTCGGCTGTGCGGACAAGTATGGGGCCAGTTTCTGAGAGCTTGGGTCCCAGGGGCGCAGACATATGCTGAGTAAGGGAGAGTCTCCCAGCATGCAGAATTTAACACACAGGCAGGAATGGGGGATAATGCTAACGCTTAGTGTTAACGCTGGCCTAGCTCTGAGAAGAGTGGATACCGTGACAGCCCATAGTAAGGCAACTAGAAACGCCAGAACTGTCAATCTAAGAATTGTCAATCTGAAAGGCTCAGTGTGAGGCTGGCCCAGTGGGATACTGGTTAAGCTTGTGCACTCCGCTTTGGTCGCCTGGGGTTTGCAGTTTCGGATCCCAGGCACGGACATACACACCGCTCATCAAGCCATGCTGTGGTGGCATCTCCCCACCTTTGCCAGCTTCCAGAGCAGCATCCCCCTCACGGCCCCTGTGTGCATCTTGAGAGCCTGCGTCTCAGCATCTTCCACTCGCATCATGTTGCCTTCTCTCTTTCTGCGGTAGAAGCTCTCCCTGCCTCCCTCTTATAAGGACGCTTGTGTTTGCTTTCAGGGCCCGTCTGGATCGTCCAGGATGATCCCCTGTCTCCAGACCCTTAACCACATCTGCAAAGTCCCTGTTACCAGATGAGGGACCACTCACAAGATCCAGGGGTTAGGACCTGGATATCCTTGGGGGTCATTTATTCAGACCACTGCACCACGTATTCCATCCCAAGGGCCCAGCGGACACTGCATTTATGAAAGTGAGGAGGACATGTGGAAGGTGAGGAGCTTTCCTGGCTCTTCTCTCCGGCCGAGGCACCGCTTGCAGAGGCTGTCACAGGAATAGGCTCGAGGATAGCAGTGGAATGACAGGATCCCCAAACAACAGAGTCAGTGTATATTGAGCCGTGTAATAAATGGGGCCCTGGCCAGGTCCAGCTCACAAGCATCTCCTGGATCAATGGACACAAGGAGCGATTCTTTCCCTGGTTCCTGAACTCGTAAATACAATGAACACACTTGGCAGTTGGCACAACCTCCACGTGGTTTCCTGGCCTGTGGAGTAAGAGCCTTCATAGTAGGCCACGGCCAATTCTCGGAGTCTGCTCCCCACCCACTCCCCCAAGCAGGATGAAGAACACTCCCAGATGGTATCGAGATGGCAGCACCCTTGAAGAGCTAAAAGATGTGGAGCTTGTGGTGCCTGTTGTATCGCCATTGACCTTGCCAACTGGGCCCCTACAATAGCCAGACAAACACAGAGCATGACAGGGGCCCCAACACCCCTGCCTTGCCTTGTATAGTGTTTTTCCCATAGCTGGGCCTTAGGCTCATAGTATATATCCATCGATCAATCTGGTGAATAAGTTCCTTTCATATCAAGTATGAGCATTAGAAACAGTTCACATTGCACATTTATAGCCCTGTCTGACAACTGGGTCCATTCTAACCTTGTTTTTCATAGTGTTCTCCAAAGGGACCTGGGCCATCTGGATATCCTAAAGAACATGACAGTGCTCCACTATAGTTAAGGTATGATGTTAGTCAAACTGGATAAATAGACTCATGGGCTCTAGGAGGTGGGAGGTAAACCCTACAGATATCGAGGGCACCCATGATCATGACATTTTTACGGGTTTGGTGGCCTGGGCATGCCAGGATACACCTTCCAAAGTAAAGACAAACTATTTCATCTTAATCATCCAGGAAGCCTGGCCAGTCTCTTTGGGTTTGGACACAGCGTGTTCCACACATAAAATGCTGCTTCAGTCCGTATTCCATGTGAAAGAAAAGGCTCCCAGCTTTCAATGGGGTCCAGTGCTGGAGAATCTGTGCATGGGGTCCAGGAATCAGTATAAAGAGACCCTTGCGCCTTGGGGACTGGAATCCAGCACACTCTGCTTCCTGGGAGATACCTGGTGGGGGAGATGTTCATGGTGAGGAGTTTACAAGTCCCAATAAGGTAATCTCAACAGAGACTCACGAGTCCTGGAGCAAAGCGATGCCATCTGCAGTGGGGAATTGTCCACCTTCAGAAAATGGCATAAATAGGGCCAGAACACACAAGTAAGCAGTGCACCCCGGTGGCCTACCTGCTTACAGGGAACACTGTGGTACCTGAGCTTCATTCAGCCCAAACCTGTGGCTGCTCAGAGAATCCATGAAGACTGGCTGACAGCAGAGAGAAAAGCCTGAGTGTGGTGAACAGATCAATTAATTTGGTATTTTGTACAAGCTGAACATACACTGTGGTTACCCTCTACCTCCACCCGAGGGTAACCTTGAAAAAGAGCAGTGAGGAAAAATCTCCACACTGGGCAGAGTTTAGGGCATCTGATTTCCATGGAAAGAGAACCAGCCAGTGCAGAGAGTGTATACACACTAACGGTCAGCAGTGGATGACCAGATTGACTGATCAAGACGTGGAAGAAGAAAGCTTGGAAGATGGGATGCAGGGGGGCCAGGTGTGTGGGTGCATCTAGAGGGCACTGAGTCTGAAGAGGTTCATAATACTTATTACTACCCGAGAGCACCATGGCAGAGGACTTCAACAACCGAGGAGACAGAATGATTTGACTGGTTGATGTCTGCCAGCTTCTGTCGTGGTCCACACGGGTGCTGGCACAATGGCCCAGATGAGGTTGCAGCTATGGTGGCAGAAAGGGAGATTATTCATGGTCCAAAGCATTGGCTCTCATTCACCAAGGCAGGTCTGGCTACGTCCTCTACCGCACATCCAAACTTCCAGCAACAGAGACCCACGCTTAGTTCTTTATACAGAAATGTCCCCTGAGAGATGACTAATGACTAGGTGCCATGGAAGAGAGAGCAAATGATTTTGACTGAAATAAGCAAATGTGCCAGAAACAGGTTTGCCTTTCCCGCCCATAGGGTCTCAGCCAGCATCACTTTTCAGCAGCATGCAGAATGTTGGCTATACCAACACAAGATCCCACAGACGATTTCATTAAAGTAGGGAACCTGCCTCACAGTGAAAGACGTGCGGCAGTGAGTATACCACAAGGATCTATTGGGCCCCTCAGAAACTGCACAGTGCAGAAGCTCTTCACAAGAAGGTGATGCAATGTCCATCGAAGGCACAACCGAGAGGCCAGTTCAAAGACAATCTGCAGCAATGGGGCAGAACGAAACAGAAGTAGGATCCACCCTAAATCAATGACCTATGGATGCTACTATGTCCCAAACTTATATACAAGGAAAGAAAAGTAAAGGTTAGCAGGAACCCACATACCGTAACTCCTAGAGACGCATTCCAGGAATTTATGCCTCCTGCCTCTTACGACTCTGGGCTCTAAAGATTTAGAAGCCCTGGTTCCTAAAGAAGGAATCTTTCCACCAGAGGAAGTCACCTCCCTTCTCAGGAAGCATCTTGTAGACAAAGCAAAGGCCCAGCCCTGTCCCCACTGTGAAGGGCTGTCCTGGCTCCAATGTCATGGATTTGGGGGCAGCCCAGCTCCCCCTCCAGATAATTCTGACTCGAATATTGTTTTTCACTATCATTCAGTTCAAAATATTTTCAGATTATTATCATCATTTCTATCTAATCAACGGAATATTAACAGTGTCTTGCTGGATATCCAAACATTGTAGCACGTTTTGTTTATCCTGCCATTAGTGATTTCTGGATTAATCATGTTGTGGTCAGCATAGTCCACAGGATTTCAACCCTTTGAAATAAGCTAAGACTCATTACAGCCCAGCAAAAAGTCTACTTTGGGAAATGGTTCATGCGCCCACGGGAAGAATGTGCATTCTATAGTTTGGATGTGATGTCTATATATGTCAAATAGATAAAGCACATTAATTGAGTTGTTTAAATCTAGGACATATCCATTGCCTTTTTCTGCTCATTCTTGCAGTTATTAAAACAGGTATGTTAAAATCTTGGATCGTGGTTGCATCAGGACCTGAAAGTTGGCATTCAGGGTTGGAACACCAATATTGCTGCTCAGTATTTGCAAACATAGTTGTGTAAATTTTCTTGAGTTACTGAACACTTGAGTAAAGTATATTGCAGTTGGTAAAGATCTCCTAGGACTTCACCTTTGTTTGAAATATTCAAATAAAACATGCCTCCTTTTCCTAATGTGTTATTGAATACTGAGGTCATTAGATGCCCACTGTCACAGAAGTCTCTGCTCATTTTTTTGGAACACATAAGTTGCAATTGTAAAAATTTTCTATCGAATGGAAATGTCTAGAAATCCATGCATCCCCTTTGAGGTTGTGCATTCCAATGACAACGAGATCCATGAAGCAAGCTCACCAGCATCCTCACCCTATTTCTAAGACTCTCACTACATCGTATTCTCTCACAGTGACAGGCTCGTGACCTGGGCTCAGGAGAGACACAGTGAGGTGCTGAATGCACAGCAGGAATCTGGGCTCCAGAAACAGCTTGGCCCCTAACCAGCACTGTGATCGAGGACAAGTATTTTGATCCCTATGAAGGATCAGTGCTTTCTTTATGAAATGGATTGTTTTTGTCTCAGATCAGTGTTTTCCTGTTTTTTTTTTTTTTCCTTTCTCTGAACTACCCAAGAAAAGCCTTTGGAACAGAGGTGCTGAATCCATCATGTGGGGCCGTGTTGGAGGTGGAGGTTAGTGGGCCCCCTTCAGGGATGCTGGTTCTCTGAGATTCTGGTTTCTGATACGGCACGTGGGGATCTGATGTCCCAGAAAATCGCTTTAGAAACAGCATAACCTGGGAATCTGAGAGAACTCCAGCTTCCCCCTCAGTCCTGTTTTAACCAAAGCAGCTCTGTTTTCATCTTTTTTATGTGTTAGATTTGGCATAAGATTTCATTTGAGAATAGAATTCCATTTCCAAATATATATATATTTGAAAACCAACACGGTAATGAAATGTGAATTTCCTACAACTGTCTGGTGTCTAAGAAGCACTTGGTGATGTATGACTTATAGATTATTTTTGGAAGACAGGTGTCATTAGGTCACTTCAAAATTCTCAAATTCTAAGGCGCTTTGTTCACTCCAATTCCTTCCTGTTATATTCCATATCTTCAAGATCACGTTCAAACGTCCATGTGAACGTGTTCTGTCAGAGCAAATTTCTTCAAGCATTAAAGCGATGCCAACGTAAATTTGGGGATTGTCTAAGTGAGCTGGAGGTCACGATGAGATAAATGTGATCGCAGATCCTAGTGCCAATTACAGGTGATCAGGAAGATCAAACCCTTGTCAACCCCGGCCCTCTCTACAGCAGACTGCCGACGGTGGGGGCTGAAGGTAGCCGACATTACTCGTGGCTGCCCAGAGTTGGGGTGAATAGCATGTTGAGGGCTCAGCAGGGCTCACTGGAATGGACACTGGAATGGAACACTTCACCCCAGAGTGCAGCCATCAACCGCGTGACCCGAGATACACAGGTTAATCTTCCTGCGTCCTTGACTTAGTTAGCTCTAAGTAACACGTTTGTTCTCCTTAACTTCCAGGATCGCTGGATGGGCAAAAAATGAGGTCATGTGTGTAAAGGAGATTTATAAGCTGTAAATAAACTAAAAATATTAAAAGAAATTGATGCATAAGCTTCGCGCGAACTTAAGTCCACACCCAGAATCTTTAGAATATTTGGACCTAAAACACTCAGGCAACAGATGAAATAAAAATTAGGGAGCAGCTTTAATGCGGCATTTAACATGGTCATTGTTACCGTGAACCCCTTCTCCATTAAGCTCAGCAGGGCGTGCGTTCACTGCAGTGGATGATCATGTCCCATTAAGGTCGTCACATGGAGAGCAGCGAGGCAGAAAGACGGCAACAACCTCTTTTAAAGACCTGACGGACTGGGGCGCTTGGCAATTGTAGGCAGCCCCAGCGTGGATCCCAAAGGTCAAGTCAACTTTCATATAAACCTTTTCAAGGTTCTGGCAGTGTTTTGTTTTGTTTTACCACAGTGTAAATTCCTGGAAAACTTGGGCTGATTTCAGATGCTGTCCCTGTCTAGTAGGTCTTTAATCGCTGCTTGCTTACACTTGGAATTAAATCTTATTTCTTTTGTAATTCTTTATTTGGAACTCAGAAAAATGGATATCACACAGTTGATACGGAATAACTACTCACCGATTTGCATTGGAAAAAACAGAATTTTCATTAGTAGAATTATTTCTTCATCTTTCTATAAAAGAAAAAAATGATGCATAGCTAATAATGATGGGTAAATCAGT